GAGGCTGAAAGTGTGGATGCTTTCACTGTAGATTGGGGTCCACTTAATTTCTATGCTTTTCCCCCATTTTGCCTCATACCTCAAGTTTTACAAAAGATACAAGTATAGGAGACCTTTCCAGTATAGAGGCCTGACCGATTCAGCAATATCAATCATCACAGCATCCTGGCGCCCAGCAACCAAAAAGCAATACCATGTGTACATCAGAAAATGGAAGCATTTCTGTCGAATCAGAGACATAAATTATTTAAAGTCGTCAATTGAACCTATACTAGAATTCTTAAGTGACCTTTATCATAATGGAGCCAGTTACAATTGCGTTAACACAGCAAGGAGCGCAATAGCCACTTTAATACTATTGGCTCGGACCCATTAATTTCTAGATTCATGAAAGGTATTTTCAACCTTAGCCCTCCTGGCCCTAGGTACACCCAGATCTGGGACGTGAAGGTAGTTTTTGACTACTTATTAAAGAACACAGTGTCTCCTAATAATAATCTTAGTTTGAAAGATCTGTCATAAAAATTGAGCATGCTAATGGCTCTCATATGGGCACATAGATTACAAACACTCCATCTTTTCAATATTGATAATATGATTCTAACCATAACCGTGAAACCGACGTCGAGTGAAGACGTGTTCTGTGGAGCTCCCTAGGCCCTCTTTCTTTTCATTTGGAAGCATGCATAGTGCGTTGAAAGGGTCTGATCCCTGGAACGTTTGAACATTTGAAGGGCACTCCCAGAGCCTAGCTATTTTATCAATTTTATACTGAGGCTTTATTGCGTTTTCTAAAGTATTTTATCGCTGAAGTTTTATTCGTTTTGTATCCTGTTAATACTTCGTTGGATTTTTGTACATTTTTAAAATTGTTACTTGTATTCTGCTGAGGATTTGCAATGTGGAACTGTAAGTGTTTTAAAACTAAATACTTCACGTTTATTGTTTGCCTTCTGGCCATCCTTAGTGATAGTGGAATATCCAGTGATGAACATCCTATTCAAGTATGTTTTATGTCATATACTGATATTAATTTAACTACAGTAGCTACACCATCATGGCTGAATTTGAATTTGAATCCTGCGCCATTAATAACAACACGTCATTGTGACATGCTATGCAGATTTACATATTCACTGAGAGGCCTGGGTCTACCTATAACCTAAAGGTGCTCTCCAACTATACAGTAGTCCCTGTCGATCTGGATCACGATGGACTATGTTCTAGTTTTGCTTACAACTGCTATCGTCCTCAGTTATTTAGGAGACGATACCATCGAAAAAAGAAGTTATCTAAACCAGTTGCTTACTGCGCTAATCACTATGCTTTTGATCGCTTACTCCAAAGTACTGACGGTGACATACATCCTAACCCGGGTCCGGAGAGTGACCACCAGAGTCGAGTAAAGAAAGCTGTGTCTTGTTTATACTTCAATGCCAGAAGTATTGTAAATAAACTTGTGGATTTTCAAGCACTTCTCGAAAGCTGGTATCGATGATAATGGTGTTTATTTCATGATTAGTCAGTTCCATATATTGATGTTAGCTTTCGAATAAACTGATTTGTAGAAATCCTGGCATACTTACAGTAGTTGAGTGTCTTAATTTTTTGGGTCTGATATTCCGAGTGGGTCTGATATCTCGTCATCTTAGGTCTTAGCTTTCGTAGGTCTGAGCTTTCGGGACACCCACTTTCACAGTTGGAGAGTCTATACCACCTCAGACCCACCATGGTTGGGGCTGAGGTAAGACAATTTATGAATATGGCACCTTTAGATGGCCGGAAATGGCACTTCACAGGCATAAAATTGTGCTAGATCGAGGACCGCCGCATGAAAACACATAGACGTTATGCATCTGCGTACCGTGCATAACGGCTCCCCCTTTCAAAATGCCGGCTACGAATAACTTTGAACCCGAAGAGGATGACAAACTATCAAATTGTTAGCTTCAAATAGGAAAAAGTAATTCGTACAACTTGCACAGCCCGTTGTTTGCAAAAAAGTGGATCCTTTTCAGCTGAAATTGACATCCGCTCGAAGCAAAATCCGCTCGACTTCCCTCGAATAGAGTCGTTTCAGCCGAGTCGATTCATTTCGGCTGCGGTGTATGGAGCGCCAACGGTGAGGCCGCGAATAATTATTTAATAGAACAAGGTGGCTATAGCAGTATACCGTTTATTAAACATGAAACCTACGGTAGACTATATTACTGCAACATTATCAGATATTAATTCTTTTTAGTAGTATTCTATTATCATTATTATTATTATTATTATTAAAAGAGTTCACTGCAGTATCAAATGGTGTTATCTTTCTTTTTACAGAAACAACGCAAAAGTTACAAGTCGTTTATTAAACATGAAACTTACGGTAGACTATATTAGTGCAACATTATGAGATATATTAACAATTCTTTTTAGCAGTAGGTATTTTATTATTATTATTACAGTATTAAAGAGTTCATTGCAGTATCAAATGGTGTTATCTTTCTTTTTACAGAAACAACACAAAAGTTACAAGTCGATGGTTTGGAGACACGTTTCTTTTAGTGTTTCCATGCGATATATATTTGGATCATGTTTATAAATGCTTCAATAAAATTTAGATTATTAA